AACCTTCATTGTCTTTTGAATCATTGTCCACATGTTTCATCTCTCTGCCTGATGTTTCTGTCTTGGAAGAAGTTCCACCAAACATGAAAGGTCTTACAGATACGATCGATTCCGACGAAAGTATCGAACTAGCAAATACACCCATTGTAAACAAAAAACATGGCACGCAAAGAGACGAAAAAGATATGGATCGCATGGGCAAACGCCAACAGCTCAGGGTACGTTCACGAGCTCTGCGATAGAGCTGCAAGATACCAATATAGCCTCAGCGACAATTCAAGTTTTTGTCAATCTATGGATTCGGCGTCGTCCTCGGTTGCACGTGGGAATACTCCCTGATGTACGTCCCCAACCCAACTGATCCAGAGGCAAACTGACATATCTTCAAAGCGGAACCGGTATCTCCCTCTTCAATGGAGGACCTGCCGGCGGCATCTGGATGCTCCTCGTCGTCTGCTCCGGCATGCTATGCGTTACCCTTTCCTTCGCAGAAATGGTCTCTATGTACATCAACACACCCACCCGCCTCCAAAAAACAGCTCACTAACTCTCCAAAGGGCCCCAATAGCCGGTGGTCAGTATCACTGGGTATCCGAACTCGCACCACCCAAACAGCAACAATTTGTAAGTTACATAGTCGGTACGCCACCACCTCACACCTTCTCTGCATCACCCTTCTCTATATCGCACTAACAACCGCTTTGCCTGAAGGCTGGCTCACAGTCTTCGCCTGGCAAGTCAATGTCGCAGGTACCTCCTACGCCGTAGCTCAGCAAATCCAAAGCCTCATCGCCTTGAACCTCCCCTCATACACGATAAAAGGCTGGCACGGGACCCTCCTCTCCATCTTCATAACCCTCTCTTCTATCCTCTGGAATACGCTCCTCGTCAATAAACTACCTTTAATGGAAGGCATAGCCCTAACCCTACACATGCTCTCTTTCTTCGCCTTCGTCGTAGTCCTCTGGGTGATGGGACCCCGCGCAAACGTACACGATACATGGACGGAGTTTGACGATCCGAGCGGTTGGGGTAACAAAGGTCTTGCGACGCTCGTGGGGATCCTGGGTCCGTCGTTGACGATTGGCGGGTCGGACCTTGCGGTGCATCTTGCGGAGGAAGTGGAGGATGCGGCGGATGTGATGCCGAGGGCTATGGTGGCGACGTCGCTCACCAATTACATACTTGCGATTGTAATGACTGTGACGGTTTTCTCGAATTTGGGGACGGAGAGGGCAGGGGTGAGGAAGACGGAGTTGGGACAGCCGTGGATACAGATTCTGGCTAATGCGACTGAGTCGAGGGTTGCAGCGAATGTGATGACGGTGGTGGTTGTGCTAATGATGCTGTTCGCCTGTATTAATCAGTTGACGGCTGCATCGAGACAGTTGTGGTCTTTGGCGAGAGATGGGGGGTTACCGTTTTCGGGGTGGCTTTCTCATGTATGGCTGGCTCTTTTCCATCGACACCTGCAGTATTCGAGAATGTTGGCTAACACAATATGTAGGTGCCGAAAGGCCGGAATATTCCCCTCAACTCGGTAGTTTTTACCTTTATGTTTACGGCACTTGTATGTCTTCTCATCATCGTTTCGCCCCTCGCTTTCAACATCATAGTGGCCTTGGGAACTTTTAGTGGTTCCATTGGCGATACCACAATGATCAGCTGCATGCTGAGAAGAAGGTTGCTTGGAGAGCCTATCCTTTCTTCTCGCTTCAATCTTGGTAGAGCAGGCATCTTAGTGAATTTTGGCGCTGTTTCGTATAATGTGCTTGCGATTGTCTTCCTCGCCTTTCCAGAAGCACCGTACCCCTCCTTGGTAAACATGAATTGGTCATGTCTTATGTTTGGTGTTCTTTTCGGCGTTGCAGTGGTGTACTACTTTCTCTTTGGTAGGCGTACCTACAAAGGCCCAGTAGAGTATGTTAAGAAGTCAGTGTAGTATGGGGGCTCTAGCGTATTGAACGATATGAATTATCTCTCAGTGCGTCGGCTGTATCTATTAATACCACTGTGTGTACTAAAAGCGCAGCCAAGTAAGGAATTGCACTGGTTAGGTATGAAGCATCCATTATCCTTACCTACACTGAGCTCCAAGTTAACAAAACCCATTCATCAGTCCAGCTATTGTTCCGGATACGTCGCGCCCCAAGGCTGATAACCATCTTCCTGGAAAATCTTCTCAAGTTGCCGTCTCCTGACCCCAACATTTCCACCATCAAACAACGGAAGGCAGGCCGCATCTTGCAGAATCTTGGAAAATGGCATGTCCTCGGCATAAGATTTCCTGTACACATATTCCATTAGCATCTCGACCACACGTTGGCAAATTAGGCAAATAACATGGGGCAACTTACATGCCCACAACGCTCATACACCCCAGTACCACCTGAGTGACCTGCTCACTACACCAGATCTTTGCTTCAAGAGCAACTTCCAATCTCGCCTGCCAGCCCACCTTCTCCTCTTTACTTTCCAGCACACACATGGCCTTCCACACCAATGCACGCGCAGCCTCAATCTTCATCTTGGCATCAATCAGCCTATCGCTCACACTTTGATGTTCCAGCACAGGAATCTTCCCGCCTCGGTTTTCGCTTTTGCAAAAGGCGAGCGCAGCTTCGAATGCGTGACGCATAATGCCAACGCACATTGCGCCGACAATAGCTGCAGACATGCCAAAAGTCTGTTCGACTACTTGGGCGCCCTCTCCCGGTTTGGCGAGGACATTGGCGGCAGGGACTCGGAAGTTGGTGAAGCGGGAGTGGGGCCCATTGACGGATTTGTGACCCCCTAGCGAGGGGTCTGCAAGGACTTGGTAGGCAGAGGGGTCGTTAGAGGCAATATCAGAGCGGGTAACCAGGAGGATGAGGATGTTTGAGATTGGGTCTGAAGCAGGGTCCTGGGGGATATCGGGTTTTCCTTGTCGGCAAACGATGCATTGGAGATCGGCTCCGCGCTGGTCCCAGCCTCCAGAGTTTGTGGTCCATAGCTGTATAGCTGTTAGTATGAAATACTTATCACACAGTTATTGTGATTGGATCAAAGAATTCAAGTCGTTCGTTCAAGACACACCTTTTCTCCATTAATTATCCATTCTTCTCCCTCTAGATACGCTGTAGTCTGCAAGCCTGGTGCTCCTTTCTCCAGCCAATTAGCGGTCCCCTGAGGCTCACTATGTACAAAGCTTGCGAGTCTCTCTCCCGTCTGTTCTAAGAATGGTGCAAGAAATTTCTCATGTTGCTCCTTGCTTCCGGCTAGAATCAAAGGCGTAAGACCCAGTCCAGTACCCAAGATGGTGATTGCAGTACTTGGCTCTACGGCATGGAGCTCTTCTATCACAATGGCTGCGTCGACGAGTCCGGCAGAAGTGCCCCCTAAGGGTACGGGAATTTGGCCCTTGATAAGACCCGCAGATACGGCAGTCTGATATATGGGGAGGGTGGACTGAAAGCGCTCTGTCTGTGTGGCCAGGTGGGAGTAATGGGTCGGAGCCTTGGATAGAACGGTGTTAGCAAAGGCGTGGACATTGGCCCGGAGCTCCTTTTGTTCAGGTGCAAGGGATAAATCAATCATGATGGTTGTGTTCTGTGATTAGACGTCTTTCTTTCAAACATCTTTCCTCAGACCAGTTTATCTCCAAGGCCCATTTATATAAAATGGATCATGAGGCGTCCCATGTGCCAGCTTATTAAGCTAATGCGGTCAGCTACATCGCGTGTCCAATAATTTCAGAGGATTTTTCTCTTGGCCGGACCTTTGTCCTGATTTGATCTGAGGTCAGAAATGAGAATGGGAAACGCGGATGCTTGCGAAAGAAACGGGGTATCTTATTGTAACTCTTGGGTCTAGGCCCTTATTGCAAAGCTGGCAGATCATCATCGCAGGCCAGAAATATCTCTCGACATTGAATGAACACGGGCTTCAAGCTCCTTTTTCTTCTTCTCTAACTGGCGTGCTTCCTCTTCCTCCCGTCGCAAGTCTTCCTCAGTCAAGGGCGCAACTGGCTCAGGCTCACATTGGGTCTCGTCAGCCTCATCTATGTAATCCTCTCGTGATCGATTCAGCTGTTCGAGCTGGACTTGCTGTTCTGCTAGTCGCTCTTCGTAGTATTGTACTGATGCTGCGACTTGAGCATATCGTTGGCGCAAGGTTGCAATCTTGTCGTGCACGCCTGGTATTGGGCTGAGTCTTGTCAGCAAGGTTGAGCCTTGTGCTCTTTGACTACACATACTAGACACCAAGAAGCTTCTCGGCTCCTTCCAACAGCGACTCGACGTCTATTTCGTTCTTGTTGTTGGGGTTGTACATTCTGTAACCCAAGCCTGAACCCGCACCTCCTCCACCACCTCTCCGTATCCTCTCTACCAGCTCATTGCCCAAGACTGCAGCAACAGCTGTGTTACGTCTAGGCGCTCTTACTGCATTGGCGCCGCCTCCGGATATGCTAGTACCACCCCCTCCATTGGGGTTGAAGATAGTGTTGCGCCTGTTGGTCGATGGAGCGGGTTCCGCATGTTTGGGGGCTGCTGGCGGCGGAGGGACAGAGAAAAGGGCTCGCTCATGAAGCTCAGTATCGCGAATTAGGCTGGTAATATCATGGTTTTGCAGCAGCGCATTGGTGAATATCTTTGGCGGGGCGAATCTGGGACGGGTTCAGTCGAAGGGTGCAGTCCACAGGCAAGGAACATACGGTAATTCAGCGATAGAGGCCGAGCAAAGCGATATTTGCTCCAGATACGCGTCCAGAAGTGTCATTATGTGCAATTCCTGAACACGAGGAGGGTATGCCGGGGTGACGCGGGGGTAAACAATGGCGGGCGCTCGGTGCTCGATAACTATTCCCCGATGTTCCGCGCTGGCGTCAGTGAAGCTGGGAGCTCCACCCTCAGCTAAGCATCAACACCACCAACCCTCGCTCACCACTGCCAACCTCCATTGCCACCAATCCTCGCTCCGCACCTTCCTCTCTATCCGCAGAAATTACAAGAGCGACCATCATGGCGGACAGCATGGAAGGCGTCGTTACGGCGGGCGAGACGCCCAAAATCGAGAACGTGGAGCAGAAGGCCATTGCTGGTAAGTCGCCCAATCTGCACCCTACAGTATGCATTTTACCTCAAAATGCCCTTGTGTTGGCTGCATGACGGCATGGTCGGTCCGCAAGATGTGTACCAACCATATGATTGCCACCGAGAGTGCGGCCTGCAAGTACCTGGTCCAGAGTGCTGATCCAACGACTGTAGATATCCGCAGCAACTTTGTCCTTCTCGAGCGCGCCGTGGCCCAGTTCGATACCCGCTTCACTCTGCGCGCTCTCCGCTCAATATCTTCTCTCCGCAAGAGGCTCACCGACCGCGTACTATGTTCCGTCGTCATCTTGACATACTCGCCCAACAACGCCACAGCCCGGACTTTCATCGAGTACATCGGCATGGACGGCGAGGCGATACAGAGCGTCGTATCTCAGTATAAGGAGGAGGTACAACTCAACAAAAACAGCACCAAGGAGCCATTGCCCGAGGTAGACGTCTACATAGCCATCTTGATACAGGTATGTTCGTTATGGGTACAGGGCGGACAGCGACTGACGGGAATAGGTATATCTCTACGACCAGAAGGAGTTTGAAGAGGGCGCAGAGTTCTCCGAGAAGCTGGTAGACAAGATCCGAGAACTGAACAGACGGACACTTGACTCGCTCGCGGCAAAGGCCTATTTCTACTTCTCACTCTTCCACGAGGAGATGGACCCCAAGCCCCCATCCAAGCAATCGGCCGTTATCACTATCCGTGGAAAACTGCTTGCTGCTCTCCGAAGCGCTGTTCTCCGAAAAGACCCCGATACCCAAGCCTCTGTCACTACGCTGTTGCTCCGAAACTACCTCTCGACCGCCGACATCACACAAGCCGATTTGCTTGTGGCGCAGACACAATTCCCAGCCAATGCTCCCAATAACCAGGTTGCGAGATACCTGTACTACCTTGGCCGCATAAGGGCTATCCAGCTGTCCTACACCGAGGCACACGAGCACTTGACCAGCGCGACTCGCAAGTCGCCATCTGCGCACTGCGCAACTGGCTTCTATCAGGCTTCTATGAAGCTTCTTTGCGTTGTCGAGCTATTGATGGGTGACATTCCCGAGCGCGATGTCTTTAGCCAGCCCCGCTTGGAGCGTGCCATGGAGCCCTACTTCCGTCTGGTCCAGGCTGTCCGTGTGGGTGACTTGCAGGGCTTCTTGAAGGTGGTTCAACAATCTTCATCCGTCTTCCACCGTGATGGCACTTACACGCTTATTCTTCGTCTGCGACAAAACGTCATCAAGACGGGCATCCGTATGCTGTCGCTTTCCTACTCGCGCATTTCGCTCCGCGACATCTGCATCCGCCTTGGTCTCGAGAGTGAAGAGTCAGCCGAGTACATTGTCGCAAAGGCTATTCGCGATGGAGTGATTGAGGCGTCAATTGACCACGAGAAGGGTTTTATGCAGACAAAGGTGGCTGGAGACATCTACGCAACCCGTGAGCCCGGCGAGGCGTTCCATGAACGTATTCGCGCGTGCCTGACTTTGCATGACGAGTGCGTCAAGGCAATGCGCTACCCAATGAACCAACACCGCCTAGAACTTAAAAACGCACAGGAGGCGCGCGAGAGGGAACGCGAGTTGGCCAAGGAGATTCAGGACGGAGACATTGATGAGGATGATGCGGCTGGTGACTTTGAGGGCTTGTAAGCGGGGTCTGACAGTCGAGCGTGTACGATAGCCATGTGCGGAACTGGTATTAGGAAGCGCTTGCAGAGACGAGATAGATCAACATGTTAATGATGCATGAATAGAACAGACTTGAGACGACGCAAGGCTCGCAAAAGTGCCTGTATCCCACTATGCAGAAGCATGTGACAAAAGGCAAGCGTGCCAAACCAAAAGGACATCCATGCCGCACATCGATGCATGTGCTAGCCAGTTGCAGCAAGACGCCGTTTCGTGAATTAGTAGCCCCCGCAACCAGCTCAAGACCCAACGCGTTGCTGCCCCACTGCCCGTCCTCCCTCACGTCACGACTTGACCAGATTGCCAATGCTCTCTTGGGAACTACACCATGCTTGATTGGGGCAGCCATGTAAGTCCTATCTCGTCAATTTCACATACGCCAATGCATAAGACAGACACCTTAATTGTTCTGACATCAACATCAGGATTGACGTACCCCGGCGTCTGCGGCGCGCCATCTTACTGAACGACCTCTCGCTGGTCAAGCGCATCATTCGTAACAACCCCAACTACATCCGCAACCCAGACTTTGACGATCGTTCAAACACCTCGCTGCACCTTGCCGCAAAGAATGGCTTCACAACCATTGCCGAGTTCCTCGTCGATGCCGGTCATGAAGATGGCATGATCAGTCGCAACAATGACTGGGAGACGCCACTAATGCTCGCCGCCATGGCCGGCAAAGAAGAATGCGGCGTCTACCTCGCCAAGCGATTCCCCGAATGCGTGGGCTGGAAGAACAAGGCGGGCTTGGATGCGCTGATGCTTGCGTGCAAGTCAGGGTCTGGCACCTTGCACTTGATTCCCACGTTGATCATGCACGGCACGAATATACTGTCTGCATGTGATAACCAGGGCAATACGGCGCTGCATCATGCCTCTGCAGCCGGCGAGCTGAAGGCATTGAGAATGTTGCTGCAGTACGGTGCGAATCCGGTTGCCAGCAATAGTTATAGCTGGACGCCGGTACACTACAGTGCAACGAGCGCAGCAGAAGCGTATTTCAAGACGCTGATTATCGAGTTTGAGAAGAAGAAGGCTGAGGGGAAGCGGCTGAATGCTGAGAGGGAACGTCAGCGTTCGGCGGGTGTGCGGCTGGTTACAGATCCGGAGGGGTTGAATGGTGCAAAAGAAGCGAATGCGAATTCCAGACCTGATGGTGCTGGTCATCGTAGGAGCGGCAGTAGACAGAGAGCAAGAGACGATGCGGCCATTGCGGGGCTGCCCGCTCCCGGTATGGAATGGAGTCCCGTAGAGAAGCGGAGGGCTATGACGCCGACTGAAGGCCGTGGCTGGGCTTTTTCTGCTGATGGTATTCGTCCGAGAGCTGATACTGGGGAGTCTATTTAGGGTGTACGAGGCTTGTGTATTCTATGTTTGGGTATGGGGAGCTTAGGTGTTTCTTGTACTACTATGACTGTTCAGACGGGGAACCATGACACGCTTCGTCTAAGGGTTTTGTTAGAATACGAATCCCACAGATGTCCTGCTAGAACAGGAGTCGTGTGGAATTGAATCAGTATTCCAAGCATGGAGTGTTTGTTTGGTACAGTCTTTGTCGTGTGGGATGGACAGTATGTGTGTTTGAACAGACGTCCAGATGCTACAGCAAGGCTTGAGGTTTATATATTGATCAGTTTTTCACCTTACGGCAATGTCAACTGGGATTTGTGAAGAGGAATTGCCGGCCTTTTGTTGGCTTAATCCAAATTGCATACATGAGAAAAGTATCAATAACGCCATTTACCATGCTATATCCCATGCAGCTCACTGAGCCTTTTCCGCCCTTCCCTTATCCTTCTGCAGCCCATTTCGTCCATTTAGTTATTCCCAGCCCCCAATTCCAATCATCGACATGGAAAAAATCGTCAAAGAAAGTCCAACCATGATAACACCAACAGCAAGAAAAGTCATCATAAAGAACATTGCTCAAAACCCTCCAATGCCTTCATCTCCACTATCCTCTTCTTCTCTTTGTTCCATCTTCCCCTTCTCACTCCCATCCCCACGATCCTCCCCTTTACTCAGCACACCACCCAATCCAACAGCCACCTGCCCATCCTCCTCCCCATCTTCATAATACCCCCACTCAAACCCAATATCCTCCAACGCATGCGGCGCCTCTCTATCCTCGACTTTGCATTTCACCTCTCTTAGCCCTACCGCTAATATCGACTCATCCTCTAGCTGCTTTGAGGATTTAGAGTGGATGTCTGATGCGGAGTCTACGCGGCGCACGGAGGTTGAGGATGCGGTAGAAGAAGAGGGCTTCTGCGTGGTTTCCAGGGCGGTGACGAGGTAGATTGGTTTACGTTGGAGGGTTGTTTTGCGGAGGAAGGAGAGGGTTTGCGGGGAGTGGGCGAGGTGGGAGAGGAATGTGGTGGGGTTTGTGAGGGTTCTGAGGGTTGTTTTTTGGGCGATTGGGACACTGTTGATTTCATCGTGGGCGATTGACGGTGTGTGAGATAGGGAGTTGTTGGAGAGAGGGTCGGTGATGAGTTGGCCCAGTGTGAGGGATGTTGGTGGGAGGGGAGCTGGGAGGCGGAGTAGAGATGCCATGGTTATTGTTGTTGTTTTGAAATTATCGTACGATGTGAATATGAGATTCGAATGTGAGTCTCCAAGGCAGATTGAGAGGTTGAGTACAGTACTCTAAGGCGGCTTGAAAAAGGTGGGTTATTTATCACTAATGCTTCGTCTTTATAAATATATTTCAATTCGACTTCAAGATTCAACGTAGATCCGTGCACTGCAAACTTGGATCATATTCTTCACTCAGCACAGACACTAGAGCACGAGAATCCCTACTTATGCATCCACTCGGCAGTCGATCAGCATGCACATGCTTGACGTTGCGTGACGACGAGCGGTCGCTGCCTCGCTTGTCGTCGGGCGGACGGCGAATGCTCGGCTGAACGCGAGAAGGAACCGGTAGCGATGACGATTTGTATGTCTAAACTGCCCCGCATTATGAAATCGATTACCCCATCGGTAACAAAGGACCACGTGCGCTGTTATTTGGACGTGTCTGAGTGGTGGTCTGATGGAGATCGGCTGACTTGTTCCTGAGACGCATGACATCCGAGGCTAGCCTGTGTACCACAACGGAAAAGCTCGGAGCCGCAATGGGAGTCGCAATCGCATGTGCTGCAGATGGTATGTTGTATGACAGAATAAATGAAAAATGCGAGGGGAGAAACACCGCATGTACATATATGTGTACGAGTGTGGCAAGATTGATCTCGTGAGTGGTTTTATCTTGAAGCGAAATATCATGGAATTCGACGATGGAAAGAGGAGAAACGACGATATTGGCGGTGAATCCCCGCACTGTTCCCAAGAAATGCCAATGGCTTATCGAATGAGATATCGGCAGTTGGAACAATCTTAAATGCCTCGAGCATGCTACAAGCTGTCATATCTAGTACTGCCGATGCTAGCTTTCGTCCAGAGATAGATCGCTCAAGTCGTCGTTGCTGGGATGGCGCTGGCGTATTCGGAATTCTCTGCAAGAATTATCCAGATGAGAAGTTTTCCATACGGTAGGGATGTTGTGCACATCTCGACTATTTTTGCAACAAAGTAGTGCTCTAGCAGGCGGAGAACTTATCCTGCATTGTCTTATTGGTCGATTCTCACATGTAAGCAATATGGGCTGACTAAGGTACAGCGTGGCGTTTGTGGCTGGTGGCTGGGCAGACGCAATCGGCGACAAAGACGCGCTTCACATGTGACGTTTAACGTTTCCATCGAACTGTGTCGCCATTGCAGTTTTCACACCATTTCCAGACACAGTAGCGACCGTCGCTTCGTTTGAAAAGAGATGGCAGGAGTCGAGATAGGCCTCTCCGCCAGGTCAAAGGCCTATAGTCTCTTTTGCCCTCGGCAGTGGGCGGGTAGCTAACACTGCCACACAACGACATGAGCAAGGTGCCGCAGGCATGACGACTCGACTCGGCTCTCGAGCCATGATTGCAGCCCACGCAAACATCCACCACCAATAACAACATGGCAGAGCCAGCACCCAATGCAGCGAGCAGCCAGCCTCGGCGCCAAAATGCCCTCGCCGAGATCCAATTCGCCTCTATCATCGACGGTGACCTCACTCCTTCCGAGGATGAGACGCCAGAGGAGAGGGCCTTGGAACTCGAGACAGTGCAGTCGGCCATAGGCGTCAGCATCGGCAGACAGCAGACGCGTCTCACCTCTCCAAAGACACCGGCTGCGGAAAAGGCTGCGGCTCTCGACGCGACCGAAGATGGGGCCTTCTTCGACGGCTGGCAGGAGGCTACCGAAACGTCTCCAGAACGGAAAACACCGGCATTGCCTGCACGCATACCAGAGTCACCGACGGTGACATCCAAGCATACCGAGAAACCCGACCTCAAGCCAGCGTCCGCCCAGACGGCAAGGAATGCCGACCGTGGACAACAATCGGATCCGTCAACGCGCCTTCCCTCACCATGGCGCGCCGGCCCAAAGACATTTCAGAAGGAGAAGCAGGGCGATCATCGCGCTATGCTGCGCCAGCACCTGCATAGTGGACGAAGGCGAGCGTCCTCGGGAAGTTCAATGGGCGAGGCTGTGCGCAAATACATAAACTTTAATATACCAGCCTCGCTTACCAAGTCTTACAAAGACATGCATTTTTCGCTACCGAGTCTGTCATCTTCATCAGTGGACACTGCCCTAAAGCAATCTAGTAAGAGGAGACGGGATACGTTTGCCAACCCACCACGACCTCAAAACATACCACAACACGACGGTGCTCGTCAGTCCGCAGCTGACGACTCTAGAGATGAGCCGAGCAATTTTTCAAGTGCTTCTCAGCGGTCCAATACTGCTCCAGTACCACAGCGTGAATTTAGCGACAGCAGCTCATCAACTCTTTCTCCAACAAGTCAAACACCAGTCGAACGGCCGGCGCCCAGGCTGCGTCGGTCCAACTCCGAAGGGTCTCTGCTCTTGTATCGGACAAGATCTCTTGCGTCATCCCTGGGCGACGACTCGCGCTTTGAAAGTGTACATGAACAGGTTAATAGCAGGCTCAAGGCCCTGAAAGACAGTTGGCAAGACTCGAACTTCAAGCTTCCGAGTCCCTCGCTGCACAACTTCAACCTGAGTTCAAGTACCGAGTTGTTCAGAAACCGTAATTTCAGCAATGTGTCCAAGGCACGTGACACCGAGGAAAGACCTGCGTCTCGAGCGGGCATTCGTGGAAGTGCATCTGGACCAACACCACGCAGTGATTCCTTAAAACCGAAGCGATCTTCACTCCGCCCTGGAGATGCAGAGAATGAAATGCATCCGTACTTCACTCAGGCTCTTCAAGAAATAGAGGGAGATCTGGTGATACTGGGAGGCTATCGTGGCTCTGTTTTGCGGTCAGCGGAACCTCCCCATCGGCAGTTGTGGGTGCCGATCAAGGTTGGACTGAATCTACGAAAAGTAGATCTTGAGGTCCCTCTTGATCCAGATGCTGATGAGAAGATGCATGAGACTATTATTCCTAGTGGTATGCTGACCCACATTGGCCCGGTTGATATTGCAAAACGCCTTTTCAAGCGATTGAGGGCGAGCGATAACGCTAAAGAGGGGAAGCTGAGAATACACAACTACGGGTACGATTGGAGACTATCGCCGCATTTTCTCAGTAGGCAGATGATTAAGTTTCTTGAAACACTGCCTTGTAATCAGCCGGGAGTGCCTCCAGAGAAGCGGGGCGCTACAATGATTGCACACTCACTAGGTGGTCTAATCACCCGCCATGTGATCAATCAGCGTCCGGACCTTGTTGCTGGAGTCGTATACGCTGGAGTACCTCAGCGATGTGTCAACATTCTCGGCCCCTTCCGGAACGGGGACGACGTACTCTTATCTTCCCGTGTACTGACCGCTCAAGTAAACTTCAGTATCCGCACGTCCTATGCACTACTGCCCCTTGACGGAAAATGTTTCATCAACAAACATACCAAAGAGGAATATCCCGTCGATTTCTTTGACGTAAACACCTGGAAGGAATGCCGCCTATCCCCTTGCATAGCAGCACCCCTGCCGCGTCCCGAGCCCCCCAAAGATAGCACCTTCAGCGTCAGTGGCCTCATGAACGCCGTCTCAAACGTCCTCCCCACCTTTCCTCCCCGCAAAAACAGCTCCGCAAAAGACACTTCCGACGTAGCCCGCAACGCCGCAAACGCCGTCACAGAAGGCAGTGCCGAGCAAGCCGGCATGGGCCCGCAAATGGGCCACAACCAGGCCACCGAAACTTCCAAGGAACCCAACCCTGCAACCCACGTTACGATCCCGTACAATAAGGCTGTTGAGTACCTAACTCGCACCCTTGCGGAAGTCAAGAAGTTCAAGCAAGAACTCGACCACCGACCTGAACACACGGCCGCAAACCGATATCCCCCCATCGCCCTAATTTACGGGAAATCCATCCCCACGGTTTACGGCGCGAAGGTGGAAAGCAGAGAAGCTATCAAGCGCGCGGATGTGTATGATGAACTTGCGTTTGCAAGTGGAGATGGCGTTGTGTTGGCTCGCGCGGCTATGGTACCTTCTGGGTACAGTGTTGTGAAGGGGGGCGTGGTGTCGAGCGACCGCGGCCATGTTACGCTTTTGGGTGATTTGGAGGCTGTGGGGAAGTGTTTGCATGCTGTTGTTCAGGCGAGGAAGAAGGGGGTGGGGTTGGGGGAGAAGGCGCGGTGAGGAGAAGGGGGTTGTGGTCTGGGAAGAAAGGATATTTATATATCTATCAACTAGATTATTAAGTAATTGGATGTATTTAGTATCGAGAGACGGATTGAGAGATGCCGTGTGATGTTGCTTCGAGTTGGGTGGTGGTGATGTCGGACTGTGATGGTTATGTGTCGTTGGTGGTCTTCGGGATAGGATGTCTGATACGTTTACATACTCTGTTATATCCCTTGCGTTTTTTCTAATCTGTTTTAATTCACATAATACATCCCGAATAACTTTGAAAACGTTCAGCGTGATTTAATCCTTCACAGTTTCCATGTCACGAGTGTGATGGCCTTTCCCTAAATGGCATTGCTCCATACATCGTAAGCATAAATCGCATCGTGCACGTTGTTTTCTTTTGTTTTTTGAGAGGGAGAGAGGGAGAGGGAGAGGGAGGGAGGGAGAACGCAAGGGACTATGTTGGATTGCGAACTGGATTGCGAACTGGAGACCGTGTGTGTGTGTACTTGTAAAGGTCTACATGTATGTATCGGAGTCCAGTATCTGACTCCATGTTCAGCAAAGTCTTTGACATTGTCGAGAATGCACAAGCTGGCAAGATGGTGTTTCTTTGATGTCGTGTAAGAAATGTATTTTCTGGGGAGGGATTGGCAAAGTGATGATGTGTGCAACTCCGAACTGTAGCCAGTGAAGCATGATTATGTGTAGGTTGGCTAAGTGTTTGGACGGTTGTTGGAGAAGGAAGGTGTTTAATATTTGTTTATCAGGGATGCTTGAGAAAGGTGCACTATCTTTTTCTTTTATTCATGATATTTTATGATAAAATTCAGTTTGAAAGTCAAAGACCGTTGGGAAAGGGGTGGATTGAGTGTGTGGCAAAATTATTGATTCAACTCCTAGCAGAACGGGGTTTACGCTGGGATAGAAGTGAAGATCTTATGTGCACTGAGGCATGTATAGACGTTCTTTAAGTAACAGTGGTTGTGAATTATATATTCGTGGTCATCGTTGTCTTGCTCTGTGAACATATGTTGATTGGACATGCAGAGACTTGCTGAAATATTTTGCGGGAACACATATGCATAGAATCCTGGTGGTTGGCCAACTGATTTGAGCATGAAAGAACATAGATGAACTCCGAAGATGCGCATAAAACCTGGGAGATTGTAGAGGCAGTGGAAGTCAACACCACATTGCTGAAACGCATGAAGTGGCCATCAGTATCATACTGTCTCAGCATAAACAAGACGATCTCAAAAGGAACTCTTCCTTGCATTCCATGTCCAACAAAGAAACAGAAACCTGAGCTCGTTGAAATGGACGGAGAGCGAGGAATCCGACACCGAGCAAGTTGACCAGAGATCATCCCACGGGATCCAGTCGTGGAGTCTTGAACAGGCTGTTTAGTTCCTGTGGCGAGTCCGTTGACGTACCTGGGACTGTGCGCTTCGCTTTCCCCATGCCGACTGAATCATTGCGCAAGAACAATCTGCGTCTAAGAGTTGCATGTGAACTTGAACGTCTACCCCGGGCCCATTGATAGTGACGGGGCATGGATGTTGACTAAGAACACTGAGGTGGGCTTGACTTCGCTACTGATGGTCGTCCTTGCGACGAATTTGTCCGTGCGAAGAATTTGTCCGGATTTTACTAGAGCTGGGTCTCGTCACCCCTATTCTGGTGAGCGTGGCTGTTCCGCGGAGCATATATGTAGGCCCTCTCCAAGGGATTCGTCGACGCCGCCATGGTGTCATTAGTGCAGCAGTCTCCCCAGCTGGCACGGGCTGCCGTAGCAGACACGGGTGCCCGTGGGCATCAGCACAGGAAACGTTCGGGCCGGATTTAACGGTGCAAGTGAATTGATGTTGTCAGGCGGAGGCGCTTACGAGGAAGATCACAATTGAGCCGGCGGCATCAATGTCGATGTTGAGGGATTGACGCCAGCTTATCTCGGTTAGCGCGCTTGGCGCTTGTTCGGTAACGGTACCCAGGTAACTGCACTAGGCTGTCCAACATCAGACGTTGCTAGAATCTTTGATCGCATCGCCAATCGCTCAACATACTCGATCCAGAATACGGACTCCGATAGAGATCGATTTCGACTTATTGTAGCTTGCTGCAGCGAAGCGAAATTTCAAGTTTAGTCTCATCACCATGTTGGCTCCACAAGTCGTGCGTAGTTGGATGCAGGCATGGTCACGGCGCGCTAACCACAATGATTGGCTGTACAAGGAATGACCCGCAGCGGCAGGGCTGAGAGATTGTTCTGTGTGGAGTCCTACAAAGCTTCCATGGCTCTAAATGGTAACTGAACTCTACTAACAAGGTGAGAGTTTGTTGCATCCGCTTTTTTCGAGAAAGCTGATGACTCGCTTGCTCCAGTAGAGGCTCTTGGACATCCATCTCCCGCATTCCCTTCATCCGACAAACTATCATTGCTGGTTAAGCTGTGGAGTTGACATGTGAAGCTGATACGTTTAATTCAAGTCAAGGCCCTGCATAGTATGCAAACACGCTAGGCCGTACGCTAGGTGTACCCAAACCTCCTTTATTCAACACCTAAATAGCAAGCATCTAGTTGCTCACTACTGTCATGGCGACGGTTGATTGAGTTGCCTCACACTCCAACCGTGCCGAGAGCATGAGGCCACAAGCGGGTCAAGTCACTTCGCTACCATGGCAGAGGATACTGCAAAGCACGACAAGGTACCAGCCTGTATACTTGTCTCCTCCGCGGTCACGTAGCCCAATCATTTCGATAAACCTCCACTCTCTACAATGGTGCGACTTTCACTGTAAGATAGACTGATTTTCGTCCGGGAAAAGGTCCCAAGCAGCTGGTATCGATAGTGTGTGTGTGTGTGTGTGTGGAGACTTAACACGGATATACTGCCACTTGGAAGAATATGTTTGCTAGCATACTCACAGAACCATGGCATATAGCCTAGTTAGTCATTCCCACTAGCGGCTCCGGATTTAATTTTTCCTAAAATCCATCAACACAGCTTGCTCGAAATCAGACGATTGGCACATACTCTCCTCCACTATTCGGCTTTGCTGCCGCGGCATCACGCCTTCTTCAGCTCGGCTCAAGCCGACATTCTATCGAATACACCCGTGTCCAAAAACGAGACTTTCACGAGAATGGAAAATGGTTATGCTTTTTACTCAGAGATATGATAATACTACTTAGTTGGCACCGTTTGAAATATGGTGCGTTAGTTGCATTTGGCAGTGGTTTGTTAACTACACATAACCAGTGCGGTAATCATGTACATCTTGCATCCAGGCTAGACAAACACGAATAAGGCCCCCCTCCCATGGATTTGCTTGTTCTTGATACACGGTGGAGTAGTCGTGCCTCATTGATTCCAATAACACTCATACCGAGTCCACGAGACGTTGATCATTTCCGCATCTGGATTCATTCTGCTCCGACGATGGATTTTCCAAACTGTGCCACACTGTAGCCTTCGTCGTGCCTCATCTCCAATAATTTTATGCGCAATTGTAACACGTTTAGCCGTTCCAGAATCACAGTGAGAGACGCGCATCCATCCTACACATATATCATCATGGTGGTCTATATCACCACCACCACCACCACCACCATTACAATTGCATGCCCATTGAAGCACAGCAACTAAAGTTTCGACTGGACAGCCTTCAGAGGGATGAGCGTCTTGGTTAATTGGTTGAGCAATGACTGGTAGGCTAGAACACGGAGGCTCCGCGGCAGTTATGTTCGTTGAACCGGTTCTTGAATTTACCGACTTTCTGGCGGAGTGATGGCATCTCTGAAAATGACGGTGACTGAAGAACCCATGGCCGTATATGCCGCCTGCCTGCACAAATAGAGCGTAATACTGGCTTTGTTATACTGCGCCTGTCGTCTGATGGAGCTCAGCAACCAACATCAAACAGCCTGCAATATTGCGTAAATAGTAGGAGTGGCTGTAGTATAGGCCTTTGAAACGGGTCGACCGCAGCCGCATCAAAGACCTTGGGTTGAGCACGGCCGATAATGGATACCCTCCACTACGATGCGCCGACGATGGTAGGACCCCTGTGTCGGCTGTCAGCAAGCAGCCGCTAGAGACTTCGTTCCCAATCCGATCGTCTGCTTGCATCATTTGCATTATCAGTGTACTATCAACGGCTAGTTGGATACAGATGTGCTGAGTATGTTTTTGGCTTATGCCATTCTTGTCACCCATAAAATGTAGCCTTGGCGCCAACTTGGCAGGTTGAACGACCGCCTCACAGGGCCGACGATGGAGCATACTCTGCGAAGCAACAATGTACGTACCGACTCAAGAATCGAGACCCTGGTGAACCGATCACCACAAGCCACGCTGGAAGTTCCCTTCAGCCACCTGCTAAGGGCATCAAACCATGCAGGTATATTCCCCGCGATTTTCACTCTGGGCGGTCGCTAGGCGTTAAGCCATGGAGAAGACAAGTGTAGCATTCATGCTATGGAAAGCCTTAGTGCGCAGGTGGGTGGCTAGTGGCAAGGGTATTCGCACGCCACTAGCACGCCCGCCACTTGACAAATTCAGGCTGGCCCACAGTTCGAGTCTTTGAACTACGCCGCAAAGTAGCGTGACACCCATGTCATTTTGGGCTATCCGCTGGCCGCCAGCGACCAAGGCTGTGTGCGCTGCAAAGGTGGCATGCGGAGATTGTACGGCCCAGGTCTAGCAAAAAGCATACTCCTGGGCGCGTGTCGTATGGACCGATCTCCAGCAATCTCTCGACTGAGGGGTTACTATGCTCTCCTCCGAGGAGCTTGAGGCGTGGTTGTGGTCTAGCTATTGTATCAGATCTATAACATAGATGGTTCCGTCTGCTTGTGCAACAATCTAATTCAGATCTCAGATTCTCCAAGTCTCTCACACCAGTGTTGTGCTGTCGTTGTCCATTGTTCTTTGATCTGTGCTACGACTAAAAAGCGTAACTGCACCGGTAGGATTGCATGTGGATCCTTCACCAAGACGTTGGCGCTAACTGCATATAAGACCTGCATCATCCGTCATGGAGCAACGCGTCCCAACTTATACTTCGAGCCCATATCAGTACATGGAGAACTACCCCGAATCCTACGAGGCGCCAATCAGCAATACAAACGAACCGATGACTTCTCAACTCCACACTGGATCGTTCCATGAACGACCATCTTTCCACAACTTTGAGCGCGATACATTAGTACATCGATCAATGGGTACTCCAATGGAATTCATGGATCTCTTGACACTTGATGCACCTTGTGGTAGTCCACAGTCAACAAGCTCTACCATAAGTCACCCTGAGAGCGTGTCTTCACCGCCTTACACCGGCCTCCCAACTTACGACACCCTCGAACCAGCTTTCCACCACGTCCAAAACAATTCAATCAACCATTCGGTTATCTCGAATGATTCTGAGTCTCTCTGGCCATCTACCTATCCTGAGGTTACCTCCTGGGACTCACGAACTTATGTTCTGCCCTATCACGAAATCCCCAGCTACGAACAGCGCTCCTACCAACTGATGCCGACCATTTTGCCTGAACCAAAAGTCTCTGCACCCACACCCTACCTGTCATACCCTATGCCACAGCAGGGTTCCCTGGATCCTGCTGGGAACTCTGGAGCTTTCGATCTCTCAGGTTTCAACAACAACGGCGATGAAAGCGATGACCTGAGCGATTCCGATAGCGATGTGTCGTGGCAGGGCGAACCCTCTTCACCCAGGGGCTCGAAAAGGGGGTCTTCCAGAAGGGCTCAGCCCAGATCCAATGTCTACAGGCTTGAAGGATGGTCCACCAACACGTGTACCTTCCACACAACAACCGATCGTAGGCATCAGTGTGGAGAATTGATTGGACCCAAAAAAGACACACCTTGCCCTAAGAAATTCCAACGACCAGAGCATCTTCGTCGTCACATCAGAAGTGTTCATGGCATTGGCCTCGTCAAAATTTACAGATGCAAGGTTCCTGACTGCTTTGCGCGCTTCCCAAGGAGTGACAACTTCCGCTCGCATTATCTCACACATTTGAGGGTTGGAAAGAGAAAGGGCAACAACAGGAAGATGAAATTCCAGGAACTCAAGGGGATCCTTGGTCCCAAGGAGAAAGACCTGATAAGATGGATCAAGAAGAACCACAAGCAAACCTAAGCTCAGCCCTGGATCGGTGTCGTCTGGTCTACGGCACTCGACCGTATGTCGATGTGACTCATTTCTGGGTTGTCTTTCTGATCTTTTGACGTTACTGGTGTTGGGGATGCAAGTGATTACCATGCTTCGGCATACTTTGTGTCATTTTATCGCGCTTCTCCTCCTGTTGTTTATAGATTTTCTTGGTGTGCAAACCCCCTTAAACAACAACAATGAAAATTGAAGAATACCCACATCTCAAATCCCAAGAATCTTAATTTGCGCGCTTCTCATGCAAGACATATCTCAGAGATCCCCAAGGGGTTCTGCGGTCCATGTCGTCCCTGTCTTCGGCTCCAGATTGCACTAAATTCACCACTGGCATTTCCCGCATGAGCCGATGAACACGTGAGATGTGACAGTGCTCCCCTCAATCGACGTACGGAGACCCCTTGATCGAAATCGGTATGATCAAGATCGCTAACAATGACGCTTCTCACACATGCTCGTGGCTAACGTCAGCCAAAGCCAGGTCCAATTTGACTACACGCTAATGCACATGGCTGACCTCGATGGAACCTGGATAGAAGGCATTGACACTGGTCAGAAGACGCAAGCCAGCCAATCCTCTCTTTTTGTCGAAAAAAAATGGGGCCCACTAGTAGATGGATTGCCATCAGCCACAGAACCAGGATGTGGCGAGCTGCAGGTGCCTCTCTGAG